GGCCTATTGTTTCTGCTCGAGAGATGTCAATTCTGCACTTTGAGCCTCAATTTGACCCCCTGAACATGCATGAAAAGTTGTAACATTTGGCCCAAACATCAGACCTGGTGAAAAATTTGATATTTGGGTGTTTATTTTTATGGGACTCAAAAAATGCCAGAACAGCGCCACCTACAACAGCCAATGGGAGTTTCAGAGGTCAAGTTTGTCGTAGAGCCATGAAATTCGGTACACATGTTCCTCAAGTCAAGATACGACCGAAATGTTATCATGGCTCCGCCCTCTGACAAACAGGAGGCCCATAAATTTCACTGCAAAATGGGAAAAATGATCCGCAATCATTTTCATACATGTCGGTTGGAAAGCGACTCCTCCTCGACCGTTTCACCGATTGGCCTCAATATCACTCCACATTGTCTAAACACATGTACCATCAAAATGACCTCAGGGATTTTTGATCAGTGAAACGTTGTTTGTGCAGCGGAGCGACAAAATGTGAGGTTTTTTTTGGCTGTTTTTGACAACATACATTTTTTTCCCGTTTGCACAAACAAAGTCTGATTTGCATTAAACTTGAATCCATTGTTCAACTCCAGGGTTTAGGTCAGAAAGTGAAATATTTGAAATTGGCCCATTAGCGCCCCCTAAAGACTGAGTCAAAGTTTACATGGGGAGCCAAACCAGCTCTACTTATCATATTCATTACAATTTGACTAACATTCTTCTATGGCTACGGGAACAAATCACCACACGGCGGCGCCACCTTCTTTGCACGGTGCTGCGTGGTACGGTGTGGTGCGGCGTAGTGCGGGGCGTTGTGGAGCGGCGCGGGGCGGCGTGATGCGGAACGGCGTGGTGTAGGGCGGCGTGATGCGGAACGGCGTGGTGCAGGGCGGCGTGGTGCAGGGCGGCGTGGTGCAGGGCGGCGTGGTGCAGGGTGGCTTGGCACGGGGTGGTGCGCGCGGTGCGCCGAGGGCCGTTTGACGCCGCTTGTGGCTTTAATTCCTTTTGTGTCTGTAGCAGTTTTTCCAAGTCTGGCACATTTACGCTGACGCTGAAGCTTTGTCCCAACTCAATAAATGAATAAATGAAATAAGTGTGACAAATGCTGAGGTTAAGATGAAAAGAGAACTTTCTTAAGGCCAGACATTTGTAATGAGGACAATTAACATAGGTAAGGCACATTTATTTGTATAACACACAAACTCAAAGATAGAGACGGTCACACGAGGATTTACGATCATATAATCACAGGACATTAAAGTGAGTAAAGATAAAATCCCTCAGTCGTAGCACAGCGGAACAGAACTGTTTTTAACCTGGATTTGAACATGGCCAGAGAAGGAGCTAACATTATCAGGAAGACTGTTCCAGATTTCAGCAATAATTATAGGAACAAAACAAACCATACAAGGTTCTGGGGCAGTTAGTTTGAGGACATTGCATTTTGGTGTTTTGTCTCTAGCAGTGAGATTGATCGACTGTTAAATCACACATTTGAATAAAGATTGTAAACATTTGGGGAGACTGTAAATGTAATTGGGGGTCAGGGGGCTCCTGTGGGACGAAATACCAAGATTTTAGTCATCCTGGCAACTATTCAAGTTAAATGTTTTGCATATGCAGAGCTTCTTCTGCCATTTCGATTACATGTATCTTACAACGTGAAAACCTGCGGATTGCATTCGACTGAGTTCTATTTATGTACAAAGTTTTTATCTGTTTGAAATGTAAATATGTGCAAATACAGGTGCACTCAAACACCCGAGAGGTACGATGATAGAAAACTGGTTCTTGCCTTCACCTGAGAGTATGACATCATCGTATTATTAACTTCATTCATTTACATCTAAATTAGTCCAAAACTATTCCAATAATTATAGTTGTGAGTTCTGAAGACGGCTCACAGCTCTGCAGTCGTGTCGAGGTGATACATCTCGATGGTCTTTCAAAATAACCACAAAACTATTCCAATTGTTGATCAGATCTGATATATTGATTACTTTGCAGCAGCCATCTGACTCTGAAGAGCACAGGGACTGGACTCCTGCTGGGACTCTGAGGAGCACAGGGACTGGACTCCTGCTGGGACTCTGAGGAGCACAGGGACTGGACTCCTGTTAGTGCCCAGAGTCAGAACTAAACATGGGGAGGCTGCTTTTAAGATTCATGCTGCTGAAATCTGGAACAGTCTTCCTGAAGATGTGAGACAGGCTTCTTCTCTTCTTCCTTACTTGGTTCAATAAAGTATCTATCTATCTTTCTCTGACAGTGTTAAACAGCTTAATCGCAGCCCATCCAAACAAAAACGGTTTGCGATCCACCGCCTGTAGTGTATGTGCAGAGTGTGTAGTTTGCACAATATTAACAATAACAATAAATGTATTCTGGGTTCTGCCATATTCAGAACCGGACCAAACAATAATCTGCTGTATGTCAGTGTGTTGCTTTAACACCAAACTAAATTGGTACAACATCAAGCGCCATCTTCAGTCTAATCCAATATGATTTCATTTTCTCCAAGTGGGTTAAGTAGCTATTGTAGTGCTCCAATAGATCTTTGGTTTTGCATTTGATTGTTCTTAAGCATAAAAGAATGGCCTCTTTTCTCTCTTCTCCAAGATAAAATAGTAGGCTACAACACGGCTTAGATCCAGAGGAAAACGACAGTAACGCGCCAAAGCAACGCCGCGTCTACACATCTATTATACACACAATCCAAGAATACACAGCGCGAGCCAATGAAGCAGAGACAATATTATTTCAAGTCTAAAAAGGCAAAATGCTCAACAGAAATCATCAAAGAAATTATAGTAGCAGTCCATTCAGTTTGTTCCGTCTTCCGGTCATGATATTCTGTAGATTCAAAGTCAAAGGAACGTATACCAGTTAAACAACGGGCAACTCCAAAACAAATCTTGGTCAATGTAATTGGGGGTCAGGGTAAGCCCCGCCTCCTGTGGGACGAAATACCAAGATTTTAGTCATCCTGGCCACTATTCAAGTTAAATGTTTTGCATATGCAGAGCTTCTTCTGCCATTTCGGTCACATGTATCTTACAACATAAAAACCTGCGGATTGCATTCGACTGAGTTCTATTTATGTAAAAGTTTGTATCTGTTTGAAATGTAAATATGTGCAAATACAGGTGCACTCAAACACCCGAGAGGTATGATGATAGAAAACTGGTTCTTGCCTTCACCTGAGAGTATGACATCGACGTATTATTAACTTCATTCATTTACATCTGAATTAGTCCAAAACTATTCAATCCATCCATCCATTTTCTTCCCCTTAATCCATTTCTGGGTCGGGGGGGGGGGGTGGCAGTCAGAGCTGCACCCAGTCACAGAGTATAAGCCCCTCACTGATCCTCCTGCAGGTGCCGAGTCCACAGAAGAAAATCTTGGTCCGACAAAAAGCGTTCATGGACAAAAAACCACTGTAAAAAGACTAAAGATAGACCTGACTTCTAAAGCACACACATCACCCCAGTCCTTTTTTCACTACGTTGGCTCCCGGTTATGTTTCATGTTGATTTTAAAATGTTCAAAAAATACAAGTCTAAAGCAATTCATTTAGCTGTTTATGGATATGAAATGGTTTTGTTTTTTAAAGTTACATGGCAGCCCCAGTGTCTTTAAACTATTACCTTGGCCTTACATTCTCTGCTAAAGCCCCATTACACACCGGTTGCAACCTGTGGTACCTGTGGTGAAAAATAAGTACCTGTGGTGATAATTAAAGTTGATGGTGTAAGTGCTACAACTTACACCATCGACAATTGCCAGATACTTACCGTAATTGCCAGAGAACAAGCCGCTACTTCTTTGAACCCTGTGGCCTTTACAGAAATAGCTGCTTTTCCACCGCAGGAACTTCCGAGGCGTCCGCGTTGGTGCGTGTTCCCACTGCAGGAACCTCCCCCACTGGGCCAGTTACAGGAACTTTTACGGTGCCCCACGGTGTACCTCCTCCATGCAAGGTACTCCGTTGGGCCCTGAAAAGCTCCGGGTGGGGCATGAGCTAAACTCGGCACTGATTGGCTAAAGCGAGAGCAGGCTCTGACGCCAGCAGAAAGCACCAAAACAACTGACATGTTTAAAATCCAGCAGCATTAGCCTTGCAGACACCACTGGAAACTACAAACAACAACATGTCTGCGTCCTTTTGCAGATAGTGATAAATTCCAACATGAAAATCTGCAGCTCATATTCTATAAAAAAAATATAAGAGCGACCTATATGTGAACAAAATGTATTTTCTGTTAGACTGTATCTGGTGTGGTTTATACACAGGTGAGCTAAATAGTCCAGCCTGAACTGTTTTTGTCCCACTGTACATGGAAAACCCTTCTCAACTCATCAAAGCGTTATTTCACTTCTCACTCCACTCCACAGGTCGATGGAGTTTATAATGCATCACAGTCATTACATTAAAGTATTTTCATTCAAAGACTCCCTCCCTGCACCTGTGGGACCGGGAGAAAATGAAAGCCTCAGTTGTGATAGAATTAAAAATAGATACGAGGGGCAGGTGTATAGGTGATGGCCACATTTCCACCGAAGAAATCTCATTGCTCTTGCTTCCACTTCTGCAATTCTATCACAGTCCTTATCCTCGGAGAAGCGTGCGGCGGGAATATGCAGCCCTTCTTATGAATCTCTCGTTGCCATGTTTTACACTGCGCCAATGGGGCCAAACTACATGTTTCAGACACCGATGAATCAAGCCACACAAAGCAGAGCAGCAGGGGGGGAAGCTTCTAAAGTCGAGCTGAAATCCACTTTTAAAACACACATCAGACAAACAACACGCACTCACAGCGGCGCATCCGACAACACATCCATAAAAGTTCTATGTCCAGCACTTTGGGGGTTTATTAACATTTAATAGACTCCAGAAGGAAGCTCTTAGACAAATGCGCTGCAGACGATCACAATGGGCTTCCGTCGTGGTGGAAACAATAGCTTTCTGAGGTCTCTGGTGCAGTTGTCAGAAGAGACCGCGGGAGTCGGTGGGTTGGTGGCGTGTTGGTTGCGTGTTGGTGGTGTGTTGGTGGCGTGTTGGTGGCATGTTGGTGGCGTGTTGGTGGTGTGTTGGTGGCGTGTTGGTGGCGTGTTGGTGGTGTGTTGGTGGTGGGTTGGTTGCGTGTTGGTGGCGTGTTGGTGGTGTGTTGGTGGCGTGTTGGTGGTGTGTTGGTGGTGGGTTGGTGGTGGGTTGGTTGCGTGTTGGTGGTGCGTTGGTGGCGTGTTGGTGGTGGGTTGGTTGCGTGTTGGTGGTGTGTTGGTGGCGTGTTGGTGGTGGGTTGGTTGCGTGTTGGTGGTGTGTTGGTGGTGGGTTGGTTGCGTGTTGGTGGTGTGTTGGTGGTGGGTTGGTTGCGTGTTGGTGGTGTGTTGGTGGTGTGTTGGTGGTGTGTTGGTGGTGTGTTGGTGGTGTGTTGGTGGTGTGTTGGTGGCGTGTTGGTGGCGTGTTGGTGGCGTGTGGTGGTGTGTTGGTGGTGTGTTGGTGGCGTGTTGGTGGTGGGTTGGTTGCGTGTTGGTGGTGTGTTGGTGGCGTGTTGGTGGTGTGTTGGTGGCGTGTTGGTGGTGTGTTGGTGGCGTGTTGGTGGCGTGTTGGTGGTGTGTTGGTGGTGTGTTGGTGGCGTGTTGGTGGTGGGTTGGTTGCGTGTTGGTGGTGTGTTGGTGGTGGGTTGGTTGCGTGTTGGTGGTGTGTTGGTGGTGGGTTGGTTGCGTGTTGGTTGCGTGTTGGTGGTGTGTTGGTGGTGGGTTGGTTGCGTGTTGGTGGTGTGTTGGTGGCGTGTTGGTGGTGTGTTGGTGGCGTGTTGGTGGTGTGTTGGTGGTGGGTTGGTTGCGTGTTGGTGGTGTGTTGGTGGTGTGTTGGTGGTGGGTTGGTTGCGTGTTGGTGGTGCGTTGGTGGCGTGTTGGTGGTGGGTTGGTTGCGTGTTGGTGGTGGGTTGGTTGCGTGTTGGTTGCGTGTTGGTGGCGTGTTGGTGGTGTGTTGGTGGCGTGTTGGTGGTGTGTTGGTGGTGGGTTGGTTGCGTGTTGGTGGCGTGTTGGTGGTGTGTTGGTGGCGTGTTGGGTGGTGGGTCGGTTGCGTGTTGGTGGTGTGTTGGTGGTGGGTTGGTTGCGTGTTGGTGGCGTGTTGGTGGTGGGTTGGTTGCGTGTTGGTTGCGTGTTGGTGGCTTGTTGGTGGTGTGTTGGTGGCGTGTTGGTGGTGTGTTGGTGGTGGGTTGGTTGCGTGTTGGTGGTGTGTTGGTGGTGGGTTGGTTGCGTGTTGGTGGCGTGTTGGTGGTGTGTTGGTGGCGTGTTGGTGGTGTGTTGGTGGTGGGTTGGTTGCGTGTTGGTGGTGTGTTGGTGGTGTGTTGGTGGTGGGTTGGTTGCGTGTTGGTGGTGTGTTGGTGGTGGGTTGGTTGCGTGTTGGTGGCGTGTTGGTGGTGTGTTGGTGGCGTGTTGGTGGTGTGTTGGTGGTGGGTTGGTTGCGTGTTGGTGGTGTGTTGGTGGTGTGTTGGTTGCGTGTTGGTGGCGTGTTGGTGGTGTCTTGGTGGCGTGTTGGTGGTGTGTTGGTGGTGGGTTGGTTGCGTGTTGGTGGCGTGTTGGTGGTGTGTTGGTGGCGTGTTGGTGGTGTGTTGGTGGTGGGTTGGTTGCGTGTTGGTGGTGCGTTGGTGGCGTGTTGGTGGTGGGTTGGTTGCGTGTTGGTGGTGCGTTGGTGGCGTGTTGGTGGTGGGTTGGTTGCGTGTTGGTGGTGTGTTGGTGGCGTGTTGGTGGTGGGTTGGTTGCGTGTTGGTGGTGTGTTGGTGGTGGGTTGGTTGCGTGTTGGTGGTGTGTTGGTTGCGTGTTGGTTGCGTGTTGGTGGCGTGTTGGTGGTGTGTTGGTGGCGTGTTGGTGGTGTGTTGGTGGTGGGTTGGTTGCGTGTTGGTGGCGTGTTGGTGGTGTGTTGGTGGCGTGTTGGTGGTGTGTTGGTGGTGGGTTGGTTGCGTGTTGGTGGTGCGTTGGTGGCGTGTTGGTGGTGGGTTGGTTGCGTGTTGGTGGTGCGTTGGTGGCGTGTTGGTGGTGGGTTGGTTGCGTGTTGGTGGTGTGTTGGTGGCGTGTTGGTGGTGGGTTGGTTGCGTGTTGGTGGTGTGTTGGTGGTGGGTTGGTTGCGTGTTGGTGGTGTGTTGGTGGTGGGTTGGTTGCATGTTGGTGGCATGTTGGTTGGTTTGTTGGTTGGTGGTGGCAGGTTGGTGGCGTGTTGGTGGTGGAAAGAAGCCAGTCGCGTGCGTTAGAGTAGGGAGAACGGTCTGTAGGGAGAACTGTCTGTAGGGAGAACTGTCTGGTAAGGATAGGCCGTAAGTCTGTGTACGTTTATGATGTGGGGAAAGTGTGCGGAGATAGCGGCGTTTGATATACGCCACGGTTTAACACAACAACAAAGACGATCACAGCAGAGTTATGAGTCGTGTTAGCAGCGATTAGAGCAGAGCAGAAAGGGCGCTGCTGGAGGCTGTGAGATATGGGCCATGATCAGCTTCTTGTTACTTTGCTTGTATTTTTGTAATGATTTTATTGTGGTTCGTCATATTAATAGTGTATGTTTATATAAATAAATCTGTTTATGGATCAGTTCCTCTTCTCTAGTCCCTGAAAGGCTGCAATGTGTACGTATACAGTATATTATAATTAATGCATGGTCATAGTAATTGTCAATAGTAATAGAAAAATGTGAAATAATACAGGTTTTACATGTCTATATTCTCATGATGATCAGAAATTAGATTTGTGTGTATGTGTCACATGTTTAATGTTTTTTTTTCAATCAATGAATGATATTTTCTACAATAATTTCTATCTATGAAAAAACTTCGTCACATACAACACAACATTGCATAGGTTTAGTGGTTCTATAGGCACCCCCTCCCCTCCATCACTAATATTGTCTCATACAGTCGCTCTGGATGAGTCAACTGCCCTAAATAAAGAGTGTAAATATTAATGGACGTAGTCAAAAATGTGAAAAAAAAGCATTTGCGCATGGGTTAGCCGAAATGAGCCCCATTCATTCAACGAGTTCAAAAGTCCACAGCAGCTAAGCTAGACTAGTCCAAACAAAATACTCCCCTCAGCATCTGGACCAAGAACGACGCCATATTACTCTTTCCGGGTACACCCCCACAGACCCAGAGTGAGATTGCAGCATGCTAGTGCATCATGGACCTTTTGAAGCTGGGGACCCACCCCCGCTGTTTAGAAGACAATGTTACTCGTGATAGTGAAAGTAATGGTCTGAGAAGGTAAGTCTGGGAGTGAAGTGGATTTCTATCAGAAAATTCATACAATAAAACCGTATCAAAATAAACATGTATCCTACTTATTTCCAAATTAAACTAAGTCCAAACTGAAAAAAAGACAACGGTGATTTTCTGAGCAACACAAGGGTTGCCTATCATGATTCTTCGAACAGAAACAGCCACGCAAACATCATGTAAAATTGACGGAATCCCAAAAAGCCCTGAACGCCCCGCAGAGGAGCACGTAAGCCCAGCGACACGCACCTGTTTTAGGGTCCACAGAGAAGTAGGGCTGCCCCTGGAGGATGCTGTAGACCACTTTAGCGCTGTTTCCATACGTGGGGTCGTCTGCGTCAGTGGCTGTGACCTGCACCACTGACGTCCCTGCGAAAAGAGCACAAACAAAAGCACTTAGCCAAGGCTTTGTGGAGCACGCAAGACTATTTTTACTGAGTTCAAGGGAGGTGTTGAAGGCAGCAAGAACAGGCCGAACAATGGGACACCAGAAAAGTAATGTTTATTTATATAAGCACATTCTACAGACCAAGGTCCCTCAAAGTGCTTCAAAGTTGTGTTGTGTCTTCATATGTTAGTTTTAGTTTTAGTTTAGTCTTAATTTTAGCACATTGTGACTGCCTTAAAAACGATTTACCAATGAGGCAAACAAAATGATCTTGTTTTAAAAAGATTCAAGAAATGTCTCACTTGGACTGAGTAAATAAAGCAACAATTCTTGAAATACGACCAAGTGGGTTTGTCCCATTGGTGAATCTTGTGACAGTCAGAATGTGCTCAAATAAAAAAAATAAAAAGCACTCAATTCAAGCTATTATTTCCTAATTTTTTGTAATTTTTAATCATCAAACAACACACTATAACAGTAATAAACAACACACTATAACAGTCATAGTTTACATTTACATTTTTACAATAACATGGATGTTTTTATGCCGTTTGACAGTTTTGAATGTGCATGAGACGTATGTGATTTTTTTCAACATCAGAGAAATGCACTGCACAAAATGATAACATATGAGGTAATAATTGCATGAATCAAGTATTTTTAACTTTTTGATTATCTTATAACAATATTTACCAATGGGACAAGTCTAGTTCAAGAAATTATCATTTTGCTTCGTCCCGATGGCAAATCTTGTTTCTTGGCAGTCAAAGGAACTCAAAAATAAGACACATTTTGCCAAATTTGAGCAGTATTTAACTTATTTTTCATCACTTCTTGCAGTATTGTCCTGATGTTAAAATATATTTGAATATTTGTACGTGATGCAGCAGTACTTATAACTTTGAAATGACAAAAAATAGACAAGGGCGTCACGGTGGCTGAGTGGATAGCACTCTCGCCTCTCAGCAAGAAGGTCCTGGGTTCGAATCCCGGTCGGACCAGGGCCTTTCTGAGTGGAGTTTGCATGTTCTCCCCGTGTCTGCGTAGGTTTCCTCCGGGTACTCCGGTTTCCCCTACCACTAAAAATATGTACAATAGGTCTGGCATGTGCCTCCTGTACTGGCCCTGCTCCCATCTCTGTGTGGAGTGAGAGACAAATGCCCAAAATTAACAATTGTAAACCGCTTTGAGACTCAGATCTGCAGTGAAAAGGCGGTATATAAATAAAAACTTACTTACTTACTTACTTACTTACTTACAATAAAACAACATCTGCCAAGCTAGTTCCAGGTTCTGAAGCGTTTCTGTCTGAAAACTGGTTCTATCCCCAGTGCCACATGCAGTGTAAGCCTCACATCTATTGATCCCATTTTTCATCTTCAGAAAACTGAAAAAGAGTGAGCAAGTAATGTTTATTTATAGAGCGCATTTTACAGACCAAGGTCACCCAAAGCGCTTCACAGGGGCTCTTTCTTTCAAGTATTCAATATATTTCTAGTAAAAACAGCATTTTGAGGTTTGATTTTTGCAAAACATTTAACTTTTCCAAGACTTTTTTCATGTCTGAGAAAATGAGTCACCGCAGCTTTAAGAAGGCCACAAACTCCCAAACAAAAACTTCATCGTTTACCTCTTTTTTTTTTTTTCAGAACCACTGTGCTTCAATTTAACACTTGAGAAGTTGCTCAAACAGCTTTTCAGGCTTCATTAACCCTTTATAATTGCACTTTGCGAAACATGACTGCACCACCAGCCGCTGTGATGCATCGGAGAGATTTTATCAACAAAGTTCTTTTCTGGACACACACTGATCTTTGGAAATTAACCAAATGAAACTGGTCCACATTTTAGCCTTGTAATTCTGGACTGAGCATGGGAAAAATGTCTACAATGAATCAGGTAAAATATGTAGCTCATTAATATCCCTTAATGAACTAAAGTTACAGAATTTGAATTAGCTCGAGATGCTATTCTCGCTTCTTTATTATGAAGCAAGAGATTTTATACTTGCTTCTTTATTAATGGGCGACAGTAGCTCAGTTGGTAGAGCATTGGCTTTTGGGCCTGAAGGTTTATAGGAGCCTTGATATTTCAGCGGGGGCTTAAAATGCATTTCCCCACTGTCTTAATCCTAATCCTGGTTGGTCATAACCAGGTTGGTCCAAATATGGCCTCTTAACGTAAAATATTTTGATAATATTTTGATAATTTTCTTTTCTCCATCTTCCAATATTGTTTCTCATTATTTACGGACCTAGAGGTTTTTGCTTTTGTTTTTTTTGACCCGTTCACACGTAGCAAAGACATGTAGCTCCGCCCCTTTTAGTCTAAAAGCCCATGTCTCAGTTTTGTAATAGTAGGATGCCATTGTGACATCACACAAAAGTCTTAGTTTCTTGAGTGAAATGACCTTCATTACAAACAAATTTTTGCGTTTGCAGACGGTAATTTTTGATTTGAGGTTAGGACAAATAGGTTAGGACTCCCTCTGGTGGTAGCACAGGGCGTTGCACAGCACAGGCGTAAGCACTACTTACCGCCGTTTGTACTTCCTTCTTTACTGAAGATATTATTTCACATTCTAAAACATGAAATTACAGTAAATAGTTTCTTTGTAATTTTCATGGGTTAAAAAAAGTTTGTAAAGACTTTAGAAGCACAGATGCGATAATGTGTCAGCTTTTTGTTAACTCCGATGTACTTTCACAAGACTTATAGCTAAAATTTTGATTCACATTTTTTTAACCCGATAAGTTTTAATTACTGGACTCCAGATTTGTTTTCATTACAGGCAAAAAAAAGGTTTGGGAAATAATGAGAGTAGAAAAGAATAATTAAGGCACACTCAAGTCCAAAATGTGAAATATAATTATTTCGGCGTGGGAGGAAGTTTAGCAGGAGTAAAAGCTTATCTCTGGCCTTTGTGCATAGATTGACCTGCGTTAGCTCCGTTCAGCACAAATTGAATTAGCGTTTCAGAGAAGGGATTTGAGACCAGCGGAGATCCGGCTGTAAATCTATTTTCCATTAAAATTCCCAGTATGGGTTTGATGGACATTATACACCAATAAGGAAGGAAATGAAAGCATATTATTCACGTGCGAACAAGCTCCAACTCAATGCCATTTGGAGAAAGCCAGTTTTATTGCATCGATACCTTCACAACAAAGTAGGTCAACTGTGAGTGTCGCGGTCTGACCAGAAACAGATTATGTCCTTTTTTATTTGGGAGGAAAGGGCATCAGAAAACTGTTCAAGTCCATTTTATATCAAATTGGTAGATTCACATTCATGTAAAAAACTTGGGAACTTGGGAAGTGGTTTGCCTCGTGAAACCAGGTTCACTTGATACTACTGAGGCATTAAGTATTTAGGCAATATTTTAATTTTGATATGGACGCAACAGTTACATTGGACAGGCCGGATGTCATTTTGTTATTATTGTTTGTAGTTGTAGGTCAGTGGAAAGAGCGTTCCACAGACCTCGCTCCGTTAGAGGAAAAGAACAGTCCAAAAGATGTTCTGAACTTGAGAACCACACAGTCCCCACGCAGACATGTAGCTGCCTTCAGAGATATGAACCTGAAAAGACCTTCTTGCTGAGAAGTGAATCCTCTCTGTTCAGCCACCTGCCGCTCTACAAACTGTGTCAACATTCAACCAAACAGATCATTTTATAGCTGTGTAAGCACTCGGCTAATCACACTAGTTCCACGTCTTCTTCGTCAGTAGATATCAAATATGGTCTAAACCCATGGATCATAAAGGTGTCTAGAAGCTGTGATAATACTGAACAGAGTATACTGTGTGGTTGGCCTCATCAAATCATGTTTTTTTCTTTCCAATAGAGTTGGATTGACACCTGCCCTCCAACTGAAATCCAATTCTACGACATGAACACAACCTATTGCGCGGTGGAAAGTGAGTTATTTGTGCTGCACCAGTTGTGAATGTGCAAAAACCAAGAGCTCAAAGTCACCGAATAGTTTCTTGACTATTTCCCCAAAGCGTCGCACATATGGATGTATAGGCCATGTTTGTTTGGAATTACAGCTCCAGAGTAGTTTGGCAAAGTTACAAGACAAAATTCTGAATAATATGCTCTGTCTGAGCTCTTTATAGTCCAGAGTGGGCTGAATAGTTTGTGGGAAAAGCCTCATTAAATCTGGTTTCATAGCATAGTCCAAATCCTCTGCCCGTACAAACAGAGAGACAGTATGAGATTCTATGGAAGCAGATGGGGCTCACATTTCATCCCAAAAAATTACCTTTATCTCCCATTTTCATGACTGTAACAACATCCCCTGAAAAGCATTTTAAATTCACGCACTGCAAACATAATATTTCATCCCATTTCTTTATCTATTTGGCTGTTTCCTTTTCCAATGCTAATGTAACAGAAGCTATTTACTTTGCAATCAATCTTCCCCTTGTCCCGGCAGCATTTGTATTCAAACCAGTCCTCCGCATGCGCACGGGAAGAATACAAACAGAATCCATAATTTGTTTGTGATTACGTACGACTGCTGAAGCTAATTCTGGGGGTGGAGACTGTAAATGGGCCCAGACGGAGGGGTGTGTCGGCCTGAAGTTCAAATATTACTAATCTCAGAGAGCCGCCGCATTGGCATGTTCTTAACCAAGAGGCAATTAGCAGAAAACATATTGGCAGTGGAACAGTACGTTTAGTTTCTCGGTCCTCTTTGGAAATTAGCGTTATTGGTATGATGGGCTTCCTCCAATACAGGGCTCTTTCAAATGGACCCAAATGAAAGAATAATGAAAAACAAAGCCAAGTGGCAGTGCTCCAAAGGCTTTTCCCGATTACTCTTAAGTACTTTCAAACTGACTCAACCTTTATTAGTTACAAAACAAAATAATAAGAACGCAATTACATAGAACAACCACTTTTACTTAGCGAAGGCTGCAAGCTCATTTGGAAGACTGAAGTTGCACTGTCTGTCCATATATATAATAAAATATGGTTCATGTGGAGCAATAATACAAACTGGAACAGGGGAATTTGTCTGTTATGATTTTAAAGGTAATACATTTGATAGAGCCAAATGCAAGACCTCAAACGCTTTTCATTCGGCAAAAATTGTATAACATTTGCGTGATTTTTCCCCCTTTCGAGATCAAAAATGATGCACGGAATGTATTGAAAGTAAAATGCCTGTGCAAAATGAAGGGTTCTTACAGTTGGACGACCTGGGAAAGACATGGAGAATCCAGATTCCAGAAAGTTCTGGAATTAAGTTCTTTATGGACATTTTGGAAGGTTAGATGCAAAAGAACACAGGTAAGAAAGCAGTGTTTTTCTTACAGACATAACGTTGGCATACGCATTTTGATGGAAGCCTTAAGAAGGTCTTACATGAAGCTTGACCAAACCTGGACTCGCCGAGACTGAGTAACTCCGAGCAGAAATGAAATCTAGTTGTTCTTTTTCTGTTGATCTGTTATTAGTAGAGTTTAGTCCCGTTTGAAAAATAATATTGGGGTTCCTTCAGAGAACCCTTGTAAATGGTCAGTTACTCACTTGTTTGTGGCTAAAAACCCAAACCAAACTTTGTCACATGCAAAGAGATTACTTCAAATTAGTTTCCAAATTGCTCATTTCTTGAACATTTAGTAAAATCAACTTCGGGGACAATGCTGACAATAATAAATGATTAGAACACGTTTGACACAGGGCATTCAGATATATGTATGCCAATGGTGTTAGGGTTAGGGTTAGGTTCTGTGCAAAGGGAGTTGGTACTAGTTTGCATACAAAATTACTCACACGTTAGTATTTTGAGTTCAGAATCAGAATCCTTTTATTGCCATGTGAGAAACAGGAAGTCACAAACTAGGAAATTGCTTAGAGAATTAACGTTATTGTCTACTTTCCAGACAGGGGGACCTAGTGTTGCATGAAAGAAGAAATCCATCCAAATAGTACTTACAGATCTCAGAAACCCATTGGCACATTTTTTTTCACCCGCATGTTATTTTGGCTCCTAGCATCGGCTTAAAAAACAGCTTTTTCAGACAGAAGTGGGGACACCGACTCATGCGCGAGACTTCAGGCCAAAGCACTGTAACATAGACTCATTCTAACAGTTTGCAATCGTATTGAATTAGGTGAAAAGTCTGAGTCCTGGATCAATAACCCGTCCGTCCGTGAACTGGGTTTTGAGAGTTTTTCCGTGCAGAGGCAGGAGGGTCTGAGGACAGCGGTGAAGATTCAGAACACCCGACATCCAACGACATTTATGCCCTTTAATGACGTTTATGAACATTGGTCATCTTTCTCTGATGGACCAACGGAGCTATGTGTTTTTATCATTGCATTACCTGTGCATTGAGTGCTTGATTTTCTGATCTGTGCTGGCGAATCGACCGCTTGTAGAGTCCTCTGAGATAACTACTGTTTTGAATTAAGCCTAAGCAATTTTTTGAATCAAAATAATATTGCACAAATAATGTTAGTGGCAAAGTTTGACCTCTGTTATCAGGGAGACAGCTACATAAACATTGTACACATGTTGTCCTTATGTCCTTGTATGTATGCACACACACACACACACACACACACAAACATCCTTGTGCGACTCTGAACCCCCTCCCCGTCCATCTGCTACCCACAATGCCACTGTACAGGAATTTATATAATCTATGTCTATGTGCCTACTGTATACATACTCCCCCATCACTGGGTGTTAACAATTCAATGAAAATAACTAAATAAATAATAATAACAGTGTGCACATAATGTTAGAGGCAAAGTTCTGCTTCTGTTATCAAGGGAGACAGCTACATGCCCAGACAAGCAAGCTCATGCTAGGGAAGAAGAGCATCAGTGCCAATTAGCTGCCAGCCGGCCCTTCACGCTCCCGGGAGTGGGGATATTGACGAATGCCGCAGGATTAGCGGAGTGGAGTGTGGGACAGTTGATTGTTACGGCCGATTTGAGACGCGAGACGACGGACCACAAAGAAACAACTGGAAAGGACACAAGGAAACCAGCAGCAGCAGCAGCAGCAGCAGCAGCAGTAGTAGTAGCAGCAGCAGCAGTAGCAGTAGCAGTAGCAGCAGTAGCAGCAGTAGCAGCAGCAGCAGCAGCAGCAGCAGCAGCAGTAGCAGTAGCAGTAGCAGCAGTAGCAGCAGGAGCAGCAGTAGCAGCAGCAGCAGGAACAGTAGCAGCAGCAGCAGTAGCAGCAGCAGTAGCAGCAGTAGCAGCAGTAGCAGCAGTAGCAGCAGGAGCAGCAGGAGCAGCAGGAGCAGCAGGAGCAGCAGTAGCAGCAGTAGCAGCAGTAGCAGCAGGAGCAGCAGGAGCAGCAGGAGCAGCAGGAGGGCGGGATAATTATTTCTCCCTTTGCACAGAACTGGGATGCGTCTCCGGGGTTATTGACGGGGATTGATTCTTTTGTGCAGCTGACAATGAGCAAGAGAGAGGGGACACGCAAGGAGTTTGGAATATGGGAAGAAGGGCAGACAAGTACAAGTGGTGGTTTGGTCGGTGGAGAACATCAGCGATAAACGCAGATCTCAGCCCAGTCTTGTGAGAAACAGCAAGCGTTCAGAATAGCCAGAGCGTTTGTGCCAGAGATTCTTATTTGCCAAAACCCAATCAAAATGCAAGCAAATCTGAGCATGTGGATGATGGATTTTTCCCAAATTTAAGTTATTTCTAGTGTGATTTAGAAAAAGTAACACATTTTCATTCACTTAACAGGGAAAGAAAATGCACGATTTTACCATTTCTTGAGTTTCCTCAGTCGGATATCCTGATGGACCTTTCCTTGTAAGAGCTGTGAGTAGAGCCGCTGCTCCTCCAAGCCGGAATGGAGCCATATGAGGTAGTGTTCCAATCATGTCTAACTCGGAGAAGGCTTATTAAAGATTTAAAATTATTTATGAAATCTATGCTTTAAGAAATGGTTGGACTAACTTGGGAAAAACATGTCTTTTTGATAATTGTACAAGAAAGACCCCGGTGAGTCACTAGATGAGGGTGGTTCTTTCTGTTTCACATTTCTGCTTGGGAAAGATAATCTATATATCTATCTGGATTTAAATATATTTTCTATCGATCTATCCATCTCTATCTCCATTCTATTTAAATAAATCTTTGCCTTTAACCAGCTATAATATGCTCCACACTCTAATGAGTCATTTGCAAATGCCTAAAGAGTAATTATATTCCACACTGTTACCATCCCTGACTCATTATGACATACACTCACTCACATATGGAGCATGCAAATGTTCTTTCAAAGCAGATTTGATGGAGCAGTCGGGGCAGCCAGGCTTGAGCACACAACCACAAGATGCTGGGGCCGATTAAGACTTCTGATGCACAAATGCCTTCTAAAGTTATGTAGTAGTCTGCTCTTGTGAATATGCATGAGTTTGAGCAGTCAGATATCGAGCGCTTATAAAGACGCAGCCTACAAGTCCAGCGGGGCCTGAATTCTCAATCAGATGAGCATATTTCCATTTTCAGGCTCAGAGAATGAAGAAGCTCTCTCTCCGGTTTGAGGCGTCTTTGACAGAATAAATGCAGTGGGTTTTAATAATGGAAAATTGGCAAAGGGAGAGAGTAGTAATTACCACTTTATTTTCAAAGAATTCTCTGTTATGGCGGACCGCACGGTAGATGTTAGCATGCTTTAGAAAACTGGAAATGCTTGGGATTGGTAAGAAAAACATGCTATACTATTATCTAGAGCCGGAGTCTCCAACCTGTATCGCACCCGTCTCTTTCAGGCACACACATGATTATGAGTGATTACATATCTATTTTAAGTATAAATGTAGGTTTGTACAGTATTTTGGTAAATTTTACATCTGTGTTATCCATGTTTGGTCGTAGCCATTATATAGACGTGTATTACGACTACAAAAGAGAGCTCTCCACCTCGTCTGTTGTAAGTTTAATGTGCAGTTACATTAAAAAGTGGCTGCACCATATTTAGCACCATTCCACGAATCATATAACATACACATTTTCACCAAATTTAATTAACCAAAAAGTGCAAGTTGGAGGAAAATGGCTCTCCGATTGAGAAAGGTTGGAGACCCCTGAGAATTCAGTGTAAGAATCCCAAAGGTGTTTCTTAACTTCCCACTTGGTTTTGAATCCAGTCAAATGTCATGCTTTGAAATGTTGTAATATATCGGTAAAGACTTCTATATGAGGCTGATATGACTCTATAAAAAAATAAATAAAATGTTATTCTAATTTTTTCCGAGTTTCACGTGCACTAGCCCATGTCGGCCCACTACAGCTGGTGTTGCAGAGATCTCTCATCACAGCACTAACCAGGCCCTGCCCTGCTTAGCGTCTGAGGTCTCGTGAGATCTGGCTTTCGCATGCAGGAGGCGTCACTTTTTCAGTACAATATCATTTGGGGTGAAATAGTTGAAATCGGTCAATCATATCAAATCAACAATATCCAAAGACCTTCCAATCTTTCCCATTGGATTAAACCATTTGCTTCGCCATCTGGTTTGAAAAATTAAATTCCCTCATTCGCACAGGCACTGACCTACATTTGCAATACCTCCAGTCATGCTTTGCTGGATCACAGAGAAAGCTATTACCATTTCCAATTTGTAGAACACACAACTTTTCTCCCAACATCCTATACATTGCATGCAAAATAGCTAACTTTAAACTGGGATGCGACCCCTCCCTCTCTCCCTCCAGATTATCAATGCAACACAAGGAGCCGAGATGATACATAACCCACTGCTTTGAACGCTTTCCCGCTCGCGCTAAAACTGGTCCAAAACAGCTTGGACTGCAGTGTGGCCGGCTCTTTTGGACACCCAACACACGATTCCAAGAAGTGCTGTGAAAATATGTGAACAGCGCACTTCTGAAAACCATTGTGCTTTGAGGCATGAGCCGCTGGACAAGGGGAGAAGTGGTGGCTTTGTGCAGAATGAAGACGTTGGAGAAAAAAAGCATGGCTGCCACACGACAAAGCTCAGAGGAGGAAGAGGAGACAGGACCCGGGGTGTTTTGGGGGCTCTTGTGGAGGGAGCATTGATAGTTTTTAAAGCAGAGCCCACTCGGGGAAGCAGCAGCGGTGGCAAACAACCAGAACCAGAAAGAGCTCTACATGAGGACTGTATCCAACTTCTGCAGGATACGCAACGGATGGGGGTCCGCAGGGAACTGGACTTGACTGTTTGTTTGCGGTATGAGAAGTCTGGGGTAACAGAAAAAATCCATTTATACAGTATATAGATGGTTCTACAGATGTATACATGCAATTATGCTAAAGACACAGACTTTATACTTACTTGTTATTATGATAAAGTTAGAGATTTTTTACTTAATTCTTGCTTCTTCTTTATGCTAAAGCTAGGGATTTCATATTTACAAGTTATTAGTATAGATGTGTTCATGTATCTAGTATTGTGTGCTCCTTATTCTTACCGTTCCGTGACTGGTGATTTGGGGAACTTTGACTTTGGGGAATCTTTAATGTGCCCCTGCTTAGTTGGAATGAAGACCTGCAGCCCACCGCCCTGTGCCTAATGACCACTGAGTCTCATAATAATAGTGTATTTTTGCTTTGAGGCCATACCATGCTCAAAAACAGTTGTTATTAGCTCCATATTTGGTAGTGAGAGGAACTTCCGGTATCTTTGGCCATTTTGTCTAAATCTATCTATTTATCTATTATGTTTCAGTAACATAAATAAAACATAGACATGGGAAAAAAAATAATTCTCATTCACTTGGGACGAATAAAGGATCTCTTAATCTATTATATTTCCAGTCATGTGAATTGGAATCCTAATCGGAGGCCGGTTGATTCTGTGGCACATATTTATGGCTTCTTCCTTTTACCCCAGACTTCTCGTACCATAGTGAGTTCCTCAGGAGGCGGTGATGATGCGACCGTCTCCGAATCCCAACAGAGAGACAGTGACCACGGAGCGGCGTATACAGAGGTTTGAGATCTTTCTACTCCAGAACCTCGTATTCCAAATGTACAAAAAAACTCCCAAAACCCTGCTTTGTATCGACAACACATTGGATTGATTGTATATTTGTGCGTTTAGGCCTGAATTTGAGTTTGTGTGAACTTGCTCAACAGACAAAAGTCAAGTCAAGCCTCTGGGATTCTCAAACTGTGGTGCGTGTACTGTATACGTACTGTACTGTATACGTACTGTACTGTATACGTACTGTACTGTTTGAGTATTGGCCAAAATTAGCATCATTTCATCACATGTTTTGGGATCATCAAGAGTTCTGAGAAGATGACTAATACTATACACCTCTTATAAAGGCCATTCATTTGACAAACATACTTTATAGTCACTTTTTTCTGTCTTTTTGCTTATGAATAAATATATTGGCCTCCCCCAAACGTACAGCTGAGGTCTGTGCTGATCATTTCCTTCTACATGAGTCATCATATCAACATACATGTGCGTTCACCTGCTAACCACCACATGTTATGTATCAGTGTGCGGTAGTCAGAGGCGTTACCATGTGTAGGGAGTGGATGAATAATGCATGGGAGAGTAAAGCATCTGGTTCCGGGACTAAGGCTTGTAATTACCTATAACATCCACACAAGGGAACGATTCTAAAGGATATGTCAAAGTAGGGCTGGGCAATAAATCAAATTTAAGCAATTAATTGGCTTTTGAAAAAAATTAATTTGTGAAAAATTTGAAAATTGTGAAATCGAATGAAGGAATATTGTGAGAGTTCTAGCATCACATCAATTATACTTGCAATACTTGAATATTGAGCGGAAAGATCAAAACATATTTTTAAGGGCATAGTCTGTCTTCGGTGACTTGAATAAAAATCGACTTAAAATCAAAATCGTCCAATCAGGAAATAAAATTGAGATTTTTTTGCAATATCGCCCAGCCCTATGTCAAAGCATGCTTTTGTGGTGGCACCAGAGTCATCCCCACGACCAGAAGGCTTTCCAGTCACTGCTTTTACACGGGGAAAGAATATGATGCGGGCTACACTCTGTCAGTTCTCCTAAACCACCACTGAAAAGCAGCTTTGGAACTCCAGAAGAGGTGAGACTGTCCTTAAGGAAAGCGAAGGAAGTCTAATGGATTTTAATTTTTATAATTAAGAAAGTCCACAGTTATCGGCCTCTAGCACATAAGCTAACACTCACATCTTGTCTTGGAACGACCTTCCTACAGACCTAAGAGAATGGCCAACATTTAAAAGTCAACTTAAACACCATATTAAAGTAAATCAGTGCTGCACTCATTTTAACTAACTGTAACTTGTACAGCTGTGTATTGTGTTTTGTATGTTTATTATTGTGTGACCTGCCTCGGGACTATGGATCTAAATTAGCAGTTTTGCTATAATCTGACACATTTACAATTTGTGTACAACTTGTATATGATTGTTCATTAATGTGTGTTGTCCCGACCAAATAAATAAATACACATCTGAAAATCACTAAAATGTTCCCAGACATTAATATTGTTTAGACTGGAAGTTTTTGGGTGTTAAAAACTCAAAATTCTGAAACCACCTTCAAGAGCGGTAAACCTAAAAATGCTCTACTTCCTTGTCACAATCTTAGTTAGCTGTTGGAAACTTAAAATGCCTTTTGCCAACAAAAAAAACGGATTTTTCTCACTAAAAACAGATTTTTCTCATTAAAAAACAGATTTGCTCATTAAAAACACCACCAGGAAACACAGCAACATAGACAGAACTTCACCAAACCCCAGAAGCTGTAAAATCCTGATTTACTGAGAACAACTGAGAATGAGAATAGATCCTCATCGTCTGAACAATGACTTCTCCCTCAAACCTGGACAAACATGGAATTCAAAGAGAGAACAGAAGCTTCACATTTTGTTTCTGAGCTTTCTCGGGTCAGCCAGGCCGAAGTCCTTTCAAGTCTTAAATTGTCTCATTTATTGCTCTGTTGTGTAGTTCACAGCAGCAGCTCCGTGAAAAAGAACCACGGAGTCTTGGACCACATCAGAATCCCTTTTAAAATCTCAAACTGGACCAGGTTTCAGACTTGAATTTGACACAAAGAACTAAGCTCACGGCGCTCAAGTCCCCCCTCTGTTGCTTCACGGCATCAGCATCTATCACTCATGCAGCAACCCTCCTCCTCCACGTTCACTCATGCAGCAACCCTCCTCCTCCACGTTCACTCATGCAGCAACCCTCCTCCTCCACGTTCACTCATGCAGCAACCCTCCTCCTCCACGTTCACTCATGCAGCAACCCTCCTCCTCCACGTTCACTCATGCAGGAACCCTCCTCGTCCACGTTCACTCATGCAGCAACCCTCCTCCTCGACCGTTCACTCATGCAGCAACCCTCCTCCTCGACCGTTCACTCATGCAGCAACCCTCCTCCTCCACGTTCACTCATGCAGCAACCCTCCTCGTCGACCGTTCACTCATGCAGCAACCCTCCTCCTACACCGTTCACTCATGCAGCAACCCTCCTCCTCGACCGTTCACTCATGCAGCAACCCTCCTCCGCGACCGTTCACTCATGCAGCAACCGTCCTCCTCGACCGTTCACTCACGCAGCAACCCTCCTCCTCCACCCTTCACTCATGCAGCAACCCTCCTCCTCCACCGTTCACTCATGCAGCAACCCTCCTCCTCCACCCTTCACTCATGCAGCAACCCTCCTCCTCCACCGTTCACTCATGCAGCAACCCTCCTCCTCCACCGTTCACTCATGCAACAGCCCTCCTCCTCCACCGTTCACTCATGCAGCAACCCTCCTCCTCCACCCTTCACTCATGCAGCAACCCTCCTCCTCCACGTTCACTCATGCAGCAACCCTCCTCCTCCACGTCCACTCATGCAGCAACCCTTCTCCTCCACCGTTCACTCATGCAGCAACCCTCCTCCTACACCGTTCACTCATGCAGCAACCCTCCTCCTCCACTCATGCAGCAACCCTCCTCCTGCACGTTCACTCATGCAGCAACCCTTCTCCTCCATCGTTCACTCACGCAGCAACCCTCCTCCTCCACCGTTCACTCATGCAGCAAACCTCCTCCTTCACCGTTCACTCATGCAGCAAACCTCCTCCTTCACCGTTCACTCACACAGCAACCCTCCTCCTCCACCGTTCACTCATGCAGCAACCCTCCTCCTCCACGTTCACTCATGCAGGAACCCTCCTCGTCCACGTTCACTCATGCAGCAACCCTCCTCCTCGACCGTTCACTCATGCAGCAACCCTCCTCCTTGACCGTTCACTCATGCAGCAACCCTCCTCCTCCACGTTCACTCATGCAGCAACCCTCCTCGTCGACCGTTCACTCATGCAGCAACCCTCCTCCTCGACCGTTCACTCATGCAGCAACCCTCCTCAGCGACCGTTCACTCATGCAGCAACCCTCCTCCTCGACCGTTCACTCATGCAGCAACCCTCCTCCTCGACCGTTCACTCATGCAGCAACCCTCCTCCTCGACCGTTCACTCATGCAGCAACCCTCCTCCTCCACTGTTCACTCATGCAGCAACCCTCCTCCTCGACCGTTCACTCATGCAGCAACCCTCCTCCGCGACCGTTCACTCATCCTCCACTGTTCACTCATGCAGCAACCCTCCTCCTCGACCGTTCACTCATGCAGCAACCCTCCTCCGCGACCGTTCACTCATGCAGCAACCCTCCTCCTCGACCGTTCACTCATGCAGCAACCCTCCTCCTCGACCGTTCACTCATGCAGCAACCCTCCTCCTCCACCTCCAGGCCCCGGGGGATTTCATCTCATAATCTCCATCTTCATTTCCCCTTCTGCAATCATCATGCCAGGTCCAAGCGCTTAATCTTAACCATGTTTCTGATACAGCAGCAATGAATCTACTCTTGCAAATATTGTCTTCACAGTCTAATGTGATACTTTATGTAGTGTCAATTATTTGCCAACCGATATCATCACCTAGGGCATCATTTAGGGCATCATTTAGGGCATCATTTAGGGCATCATTTAGGGCACCATGCAGTCAACCACTAGAGCAGGGTGAGCTGGAGCCGGGCGGCTGTCAGAGGCTACACATCTTTTGGCAGCTGCCCCACCAAACCTGGCTTTTTTTAATCCCACACACAGCTGTTGCATCAAATATTATTGGTATATTATCTGGTTTGAGCTATTTTTGGTTTCAGTTAGGTCATCTAATTTGTAAATGATTTTTTTACTTAATCCTACTACTGTTCTTCCTTTCATGGAATGTATTACTGTTATATTTCCTGGATTATTGAGATATTTTGTGGCATTACCATGAAAAAGGGATAATAAATAAATAATAATAATATAATAATAATAATATCTACGCATATGTTTTTTGTCTGTTCGAGTTTCTCTAGATTGAAGTAAAGCGCTCCCACAGTGCGTTGTTCTGATACTGACCCACTTCGCACATCTCGGGCACGTCGGCGTCGAAGGGCCCGTCTGGGAACCTGGGTGCGTTGTCGTTGATGTCTTGGACTTTGATGATGAACTCGGACTTGGGCTCCAGGGCGTCCTCCGTGTTGCGGTCCAGGGCTTGCGCGTGCAGGACGTAGTGCGATTTCCGTTCCCGGTCCAGGCTCTTGGTGGCGTGAATGTCTCCCGTCACCTCGTCGATGATGAATATAGTCCCCGCTCCTTCTCCGCTCAGGATGTACCGCACTGAACCGTCGCCTTTGTCAGAGTTGGAGTGAAGCTGCAAGACAAGAAGGACACACGCAATCAACACATGGATAGACAGGACCAACGCCAGCCAACATTTAAAGCAACGGTACGTGACTTTCTGGAGGTGAAAGACGTATACAGTACTTGAATCTCCTCAACATATTTAATCAATCCGTTTTATTTATAACGCACATTTCATACACAAATGCAAGTGCGTTACATTTTGGCTAAAAACCCGACCATCCAACTGACCCAGCCCAAAACACATATTATTAAGTACACAATACAATACAATACAATCCAATGTATTGTTGTATAGCCCTAGGTCACAACAGAAGTCATCTCAGAGACTTAACAAAACCATTGAAATCACCAACACAGGTCAGAGAATCAACAGTTAAAACACATGAAGAATATAAAGCACACACAGAAGAAAATGTCCATACATGTTGTAGAATGCTAAAGTGTCCTGATCATCACCAATCCTTTCTGTTGGACACTAACTGTCCAACAAGACCCTCCTGCATCCACAAGGAACAACTCTTAAAAAACCCAGTGGGAAAAAGTGAGAAACCTTGGAGGAGAACTAGGGAAACCCACAGGGAGGGAGACCCATATGAGAAAGGGATCCGCTCCTCCGGACGGACAGGCTAATGATCCAGGACCTAAGCTAGCTACAGGACGTGGACCAGTGGACGCTGAACGTGGACAGACATATAAAGGCACACACACACTCATATACAGAACGCACAAACACATACAGTATAAACTCACACACACACACACATACATATATACACACACATATGCATATAAACGCACCCACACACACACACATAAACGTACACACACACAATCTCATATGAACCCACACACACACACACACTCACACAAACACACACTCATATGAACCCACACACACACATACACATACACACACACACCCTCTCATATGAACCCACACACACTCACACACACACATACAGTATACAGTCACTTCACTCAAAGCTAGAAAAATAAATTATGAGCATATTTTAGGCTAAAACTTTAATCTAACTAGATCTTGAATTGTGCTGAAATAATGAAGAATAAAACATCTTGAATCAAAACCCAATTAATTAAAAATCAACAAAGTAATCACAATCAGAGTCACTTTTTGCCGTGTAAGAAACAGGAAGTCACAGAGGAGAAAATATGGCTCTCGGTGCAATCAAGTCAAAAGTATAAATTAGAAAGAGGCATAATGAAAATTGACACACATTTATAAATATACAAAAATAATCAATTAAAATGATTACTGTGGTATGCATTAATTGGGCTAAACTGGCTATGTGAAAAACAGATATTTTTCAAGCAAACACAAACATTTAATAAACAAGAAGCATTTTTCAATCCTACTGTAAAATATGTGCACGTTCAATATTCCCTCATCTATCGCCTGATTCTCTAGATATTGATAAAACCCGACCAACTGCCACATAATTTTAACTAATTTCCGAACATTGAAAATAAAATCTGCTCTTAACAACACAATGCAGTGATAGATCCAAACAATTGTGCAGAAACTCCACGATCCAAATGTGGCGATTCTTTTTAATCAAAAAGCTTTTTTCTCTTTGTGCAACAATCCCAAATGTTCCCGAAGCCTGAACCCAATTTAAACTTCCATTTGGATGCTCAGAGAAAGAGTCTCTCGTGACTGGAGCAGGCAGCGCTCGAGCCACACTTCACTCTCTGCTTCTTCTCTACAATTAAGACCAATATTTTAATCTTTTGACAACTTTGATTCTTCAAAACTGCAATTAAAGCCTCCTCGAAATTAAATAGTAGAAATGAGCTCTGTATCGCAAATAGAGAGTGTGGTAGTTTGTGTGTGTCTTTGTGTGTGTGTGTGTCTGTGTGTGTCTGGCTCTCTCCTGTGTGCCTGTTTTTGTGTGTGTCTGTGTGTGTCTGGCTCTCTTCTGTGTGTGTGTGTGTGTGTGTGTGTCTGGCTCTCTTCTGTTTTCCTGTGTGTGTGTCTGGCTCTCTTGTGTGTGTGTGTGTGTGTGTGTGTGTGTGTGTCTGGCTCTCTTCTGTGTGTGTGTTTGGCTCTCTCCTGTGTGCCTGTGTGTGTGTCTGTGTGTGTGTGTGTGTCTGGCTCTCTTCTGTTTTCCTGTGTGTGTGTCTGGCTCTCTTCTGTGTGTGTGTCTGCCTCTGTTCTGTGTGCCTGTGTGTGTCTGCGTCTACCTGTGTGTGACTGGCTGTCTTCTGATTGTGTCTGTCTATCTGTCTATGTGTGTGTGTTTGTGCCTCCCTGTCTTCCTTGTGTGTGTCTCCCTGTCTTCCGTGTGTGTGTATGTATGTATGTGTGCGTGTGCTTGTGTGTGTCTGTGTGTGCCTCTTTGTCTTCCTTGAGTGTGTGTTTGTGCGAGCGTGTACCGAACAAATGTATACACCCATTAAAGCTTGGGTACACAACACGTTCCCTTCCTAAAACATTTTACAAAAACGTTTTACGAACATGACAGACCACAACAAACAGTCTCCATCTTGTTTTAAAACATCAGATCTTTTGCATACTTGAGGAGGAGCCCAGTGAGTCACTAATTGACACTTTGGGCGGAGAGATGATTAGCCTTAGCATCCGTAATCTCCGGTCAATTATCATCTCCTGCATGTTTGTCTGGGTCTGGTCCCTGTGGCTGCGGTTACCTTGGTTGTATCGCATCTGACCAAAGGAGATGGCCAAAGCTAGGCTAAATGCTAAAGCTAGGCTAAATGTTAAAGCTAGGCTAAATGCTATCGACTCACCCTGGCGCAATACATAAGTCACAGTAAACTCAAATCCAATTGTTTCATTCTGCTAAAGGAGTTAACCCCTCCCACCGGTTAACGGAGTCAACGGAGCAAATCCAGATCTAGTATGAAATGAAATGTGTACGATGGTATGGTAAGACCAGGCTAGCTGAGTAAAGGTGGGATATTGACTCCAGAGGCTGAGTAAACACACGCAGATACCCAAACGTCCTCCATATTTCCCACTGGTAAGCCTCCCCCAGACCCAATTGATATTTCTTACTTATACCAAATATCACTAACAAGATCTATAACCGCAGGATTGGCCTCTCGCTCGGCACATCCTCAAACCGGCTGGTGAAAAAGCACCGCTGAAGTGCTGCGGCACACACAGAATGGATCTATAAATGGAAAATGAAGTCTAAAATAGGTCTGTGCAATAAATTGAATTTTAATCAAGATCGAGATTCAGTCTTTTCAAATCAGCTGGTGGTAAATTGAGGCGTAGGGCTGAGGCTGAGAGAATCCAGACTGTGGACAGGAGGCATGGGTGTTTTCATGACAACATTGGAAATTCATGTGTAAGTCTGTTTTATTGTGTGTGGCTGAAAAAGAAATACACTGTTTTTGTTTTGTTCTTAAACTGAAAACGTGTTGTTTTTTGTCTCAACAGAAATATAGTTTGTGAAAAAATCTTGTATCTATTGCATATTAACAAGAAAGAGACCAATGAGTCACTAATTGAGGCTTTGGGCTTTGGCTGGTCCTCTCGTTTTCAGGTTTCTGTCAAAAAAAAAAAAAAGTTATGACAGAGGCCAAAAAACTGTAAGTAAAAAAAAAAACTAGTGATAAAAACCAAATTGTTTTGATACAAATACAAAAAAGGGATACAATGAATGAATGAATGAATGGAAAAAGGATAGTGAAGACCAACAACGTACATAAGCGAAGTGATCAGACTGCCAAAATGACTCTTAGTAGTTTCTGAATTCTAAGAGTTATAGTAGTTTCTGAATTCTAAGAGTTAAAGTAGTTTCTGAATTCTAAGAGTTATAGTAGTTTCTGAATTCTAAGAGTTATAGTAGTTTCTGAATTCTAAGAGTTATAGTTGTTTCTGAATTCTAAGAGTTATAGTTGTTTCTGAATTCTAAGAGTTATAGTAGTTTCTGAATTCTAAGAGTTATAGTAGTTTCTGAATTCTAAGAGTTATAGTAGTTTCTGAATTCTAAGAGTTATAGTTGTTTCTGAATTCTAAGAGTTATAGTTGTTTCTGAATTCTAAGAGTTATAGTAGTTTCTGAATTCTAAGAGTTATAGTTGTTTCTGAATTCTAAGAGTTATAGTAGTTTCTGAATTCTAAGAGTTATAGTAGTTTCTGAATTCTAAGAGTTATAGTAGTTTCTGAATTCTAAGAGTTATAGTAGTTTCTGAATTCTAAGAGTTATAGTAGTTTCTGAATTCTAAGAGTTATAGTAGTTTCTGAATTCTAAGAGTTAAAGTAGTTTCTGAATTCTAAGAGTTATAGTAGTTTCTGAATTCTAAGAGTTATAGTAGTTTCTGAATTCTAGGAGTTAAAGTAGTTTCTGAATTCTAAGAGTTATAGTAGTTTCTGAATTCTAAGAGTTATAGTAGTTTCTGAATCTCTAAGAGTTAAAGTAGTTTCTGAATTCTAAGAGTTATAGTAGTTTCTGAATTCTAAGAGTTATAGTAGTTTCTGAATTCTAAGAGTTATAGTAGTTTCTGAATTCTAAGAGTTATAGTGGTTGCTGAATGCAGGGAGTCCTCATGTTAAACCTAATTCTGATTCAGATTCAGTTTATCAGCCATTTGCAGTAAAACCCCTCTGGAACACACATGCAAAAGCTCCAGACAGGCACATAAACTAAAACAACAAATGGAAATTTCAAAGCCAAACTAAGTTATTTAGCGATTACGATGTTATTTGACAGGAAGCAAAGTGGGAGAGCGGTTGATTTAGTTTAGTTCTAGTGTGAACAATGAGCCGACTGAATATCCTGATGTGACAATTCCAAGCCCCGGAAAACCATGGCGCCTGGATCCACGCATCTGTGCCCATTGGTTCATCAAGTGCCGTGACTCTCACCGGGAGATGGACGCCGCCACTCCTTCAGCCGTAATTGACATCAACAAGATTTGAACTTCAGCTGGGATCGCTCAGCCGGGTTTGAGGCGCTGCCATGGAGATAATAAGAAAGATTCCTACGCGGTACATGCAGACGCGATTGTGAATTTCCAGCCAGCATGCAGTCACGGAGGAATCATTATTTAACCAATTTCACTGTAACACATGAATAAAACATGACATGCAACACATTTCTCTCATTTTTGGCCCTCGGGGGGAACTGAACAAAACAATCTATTTTCTTTGAGCTTTGGCAACGTGTTACATACAAATACAACATGGGAGCAATGCTTTTTATTCCATATTCTTTCAAGCACATCGACGTGCCGTGTTTAAATTTAAAGAAATGTTGTTGGTTTTGCCGAGCCCCGGGGCGATGTGTTAATAAAAAAAGAATACAAAATGAGCCGTGGATTGTTTGAGGCTTTGAGGAAAGGGAAAAACACACATGTAAAATGGAATCAATTATTCAAGATGTTTACAGCGACTTCATGCTTCCCATGTTTTATCCCCAGGTTTTTTTCTTAAGTAATGTGTGGCCACTTGTTGTTTCTGATATGAAGGAGCACAATCAGTCTGTGGGAATTGCAACAAGGGAAGAACTGTAGGGGCTGTCATAAATGTTCAGGTAGAAATGAAAAAATATCCCACGTTCAATTCAATGCATTCTTGTATCGCCCTAAATCGCAGCAGTAGTTATCGCAGAGGACTTAACACAACCGAATTCTCCAACACAGATTAGAGACTCAAACCGTTCAAAGCTACCATAGTAAAAACACATTGATCCGCAGATGAGCAATGTCCAAAACTTAAAGCTAAAGTCTATAAATGTTGTTGAAATAAATGTTTTTTTTTTCATTCTCATTTGTGTTGTTCATTAAGTCATTATTTCAGTTATTTGTGTTGTTTTATAACTTTTATCAACATTCATGGACATTGGTCAACTCCCTATGGATCAATACCATGTGGTCTCTCCCTATGGCCCAATACCATGTGGTCTCTCCCTATGGACCAATACCATGTGGTCTCTCTCTATGGACCAATACCATGTGGTCTCTCCCTATGGCCCAATACCATGTGGTCTCTCCCTATGGACCAATACCATGTGGTCTCTCTCTATGGACCAATACCATGTGGTCTCTCCCTATGGCCCAATACCATGTGGTCTTTCCCTATGGACCAATACCATGTGGTCTCTCCCTATGGCCCAATACCATGTGGTCTTTCCCTATGGACCAATACCATGTGGTCTCTCCCTATGGCCCAATACCATGTGGTCTTTCCCTATGGACCAATACCATGTGGTCAACTCCCTATGGACCAATACCATGTGGTCAACTCCCTATGGACCAATACCATGTGGTCTCTCCCTATGGACCAATACCATGTGGTCAACTCTCTATGGACCAATACCATGTGGTCAACTCCCTATGGACCAATACCATGTGGTCTTTCCCTATGGACCAATACCATGGGGTCTCTCCCTATGGACCAATACCATGGGGTCTTTCCCTATGGACCAATACCATGTGGTCTCTCCCTATGGACCAATACCATGTGGTCTCTCCCTATGGACCAATACCATGTGTTCTCTCCCTATGGACCAATACCATGTGGTCTCTCCCTATGGACCAATACCATGTGGTCCCTCCCTATGGACCAATACCATGTGGTCTCTCCCTATGGACCAATACCATGTGGTCAACTCTCTATGGACCAATACCATGTGGTCTCTCCCTATGGACCAATACCATGTGGTCTCTCCCTATGGACCAATACCATGTGGTCAACTCCCTATGGACCAATACCATGTGGTCTTTCCCTATGGACCAATACCATGTGGTCTCTCCCTATGGACACATACCATGTGGTCTCTCCCTATGGACCAATACCATGTGGTCTTTCCCTATGGACCAATACCATGTGGTCAACTCCCTATGGACCAATACCATGTGGTCTCTCCCTATGGACCAATACCATGTGGTCTTGGTTTTTGTGTCTTAACTGTTGATTCTCTGATCTGTGTTATGATTTAAACATGTTTTCAGTCCTCTGAGAAGACTGATTTTGTGATTTAGGGCTATACAAGACTAAATTGAATTGAACTGAGATAGATTGAATGTCGGGCGTCCTGGATCTGTCGATTCCTCAACAACAGATTAGAGAATCAAACAAACACCGTGGAGCCATTGGTCCATAGGAAGTAGAATGACCACTGTCCAGAAATGTCAATGCATTTCCATAAATTGCCTTAAATGTCTCAGATTCTCACGGCCCTTACACTCTCCTGCATCAACCAGAAACAACGGAAAAACCCAGAGAGAAACCTCGGAAAGGCCCACACTGAGAGACATTATTAGTCTGAGCAGAGATGACCAAACTTCCTTCTACACATTGATTTTGTGGCGTTCCAACTCCTCCTGGGTTTTGCCAGTGAAGTGTCCAGAAGACACTTCGACTCACCCAATCTCTGAGACCAGCCGCTCTGCAGAAGAAAAGCCCCCACTGTTGCATGAATAAAGGATCTATTCACTATTCAAACTCAATTGGCCGATTATACTTGTGTTCTGGACTTTTCGGTCATCACCAAAAGCTCGTGACTTAAAATAATACACATACTTCAATGCTGAAAATCAAAATGATGCATATTTTTCCTTTATGACAACAAGAGTGCCAGGAAAAAACCATGGCTCAATATTGAGGATTTTCTGTCTGGGTTTGTTTGCCCTGAGACTGAACGGTCAGAGGAAGAGCCGTAATCACTGCAGCTGACTCACTGCAGCTGAAGACTAGTCTACATTTGGACCCATTCTGGGACCTCCCTGGTCATCTCCCTGGTCATCTCCGTGGTTATCTCCCTAGTTATCTCCCTGGTCATCTCCCTGGTTATCTCCCTGGTTATCTCCCTAGTTATCTCCCTGGTTATCTCCCTGGTTATCTCCCTAGTTATCTCCCTGGTTATCTCCCTGGTTATCTCCCTAGTTATCTCCCTGGTCATCTCCCTGGTTATCTCCCTGGTTATCTCCCTGGTTATCTCCCTAGTTATCTCCCTGGTTATCTCCCTGGTTATCTCCCTAGTTATCTCCCTGGTTATC